GGAATTTTGTGTTCGTTTACCTTCAGGATGTTCGATTTCCTATCAACTATAGCACCTATATCCCTAAGTGTGTCGTCTCCTATGATCCCGTCAAATGACGTCAATCCTGGGAGCACAAAGAAGGTTGTCTCGGAGTCGCTACTTATGTCTTTAAACAGGTTTAAATTAAATTTTTTCTTTTATGAGAATATTTCCGCCAGCTGATCTTACGGAGAAAGGGTTTTCGACCGCATTACCTTGCTTTACGATCGTTCGGCTGATGAAATTTTTATTGGCACCAGTGTCGATGAGAAAGTCTAGGATGCGGCCGTCAGGGAGTACGTACTCTATGTAAGGTACGCTAGATGGCCGTCGGATAATAAATTCTCCTCCTGTGCATCTTGTGCATTCTGTAGGTAGTTATTCACTTCGTCGTTCGTGCCCTCTGTTTCTATGTTGAACAGCTTTTGCTGTTTCCGCGGAAGATTGTCTGACCTTGCACCTCGTTTAAAAGGATTTGGTCTATTCATGTAGTTTACCTTACGGGACTGGGTAGATTGGTCTACGTCCATTTTCTCGACGGGTGGCTGAGAGGTTGTTGGAGGATCTCGTTTTGGAGCAGTGTACCCACCTCGTTTTTCGAAGGGATATCGTCGCTCTTGGGGACGGTATGTCGTCCTTGGTGGTAGCGGAGGTGCCTTGTTGCCCTCTAGGCCATGCATGCGTTCTGGCATGGTGTTCATCGGTGCGACAATGCGATTATTGAATCGCGTATTATGCACTGTGTAATTTCTCAAGTTTGTATTTTGTATTTCGAGGCACCTTGAATATGCTTCGGGTAGAGTCTTTGGGCGCTGAACCAGGAGCATCTTCGAGAGATCCCCATTCAATCCGCGGATGAAAACATCCAGCGCGCGGTTCCTGTACGTGTCTATCAGTACTCGGACTGTCTCCTGAGAATATTTCTCAGTTTTAAGTTTATTAATTATTAGGGCAAAGTGGTGGTTCACGGCTCCGTAGAAGTCATCGAGCCGTGAATCCTTTTGGGAGAGTTGGTGGAGTTGGTACTCCAAGGTGCTGATATCACGTTTGTCCGCATAATGGAGTGATAGACATTCCTTCATGGCGGCCCAGTCAGTGTCAAAAATACTATAGGATATGAGGGCAGTATCGGCCGGCCCTCGTATCTTTTGGCGAACGTGTTGTAGGATTGCCCGATAGATGGGCTTATTCTTCACTGGCTCGAAATCCGTAAGGATGCTTTCGACAGCGTGCACCCACGACACATACATCGTTGGATTACCATTAAAAATCTGTAGCTCCTTTACGGAGTCTGGAAGCCTCGAGATATCTCTTAATTCCGCCTCAGTTGCTGGAGCTCGGGGTTGAACTGGAACTTCTTCCGCTACTCGCTCCGGGGTAGCAGCTTCTAACAAAGCGATTTTGTTTTGGAGTGTGTCCAAGCACGATGCACGCCTTTCCAGACCATTTAATCGGTCCATAAGTGCATTCACCGCACCTGTCAAATTTGTAACTGTAACCTGGAGTGAATCCATCCTGGAAGACGGAAGAGAAGAAATATGGAAACAACAAGAAATATTACTCACGTAACCAGGATTAACATTTAATTGTTCACTCTAATTTATAGCCTTTATTTAGCTAAATTTTTTCACGTATTGGCTTTTGATTCTTTTTTAGATATAGCTTTATTTCAGCTAATATTTTTTCACTTATTGGCTTTTAATTCTTTTTGCTTAAATATAGCTTTTGTTTGGCTAATATTTTTTCGCTTATTGGCTTTTAATTCTTTTTGCTTAAATATAGCTTTTGTTTAGCTAATATTTTTTCACTTATTATCACTTCACTCCAATTAGCTTCACTACTGGTCCCTGCCTCGGGCGCCAGTAAAGGACCCCGGGTCCTTGAACACTAAAAAAATTAAAGGGCCAACTTGCCCTACAATGAAAACACAAGAAAGGTTAGATTTACAATAATTTATTGATAGGTAATTAATCAAGATAGAACAAGCGGGTTAGTAGTCCACCATGCAACTGCCTCTTCGATGCGTGCTGCTTCCTTTTATAGACTTGTCGTTCTGCTGCCTTGAGGTGCGCGGTATTTGGTACGCTGGCTTAGGCCGTGGCTTCCCACGGTTGACATGCACTGAGGGCATGTGCAAGTATTTCACAATCGTGTGAAACATAATTTGCTGACGCTACTGTCTGGCTCTGTTGGTATGGTTCTTGTTGCGTAACCATTAGTACGTGGTACTAATCATGAACTTGGTTTCCCACAGGTTATGTGGTGAAATATCATTGGCCTTGAATTGGGGCGTTGGGTTGCAATACGGTATGACTGCAATTATGCTGATGCAGCGGCACGTGTACGAGTAGAGTGTGGGAATGGAATATGTTGGGTGCCGCAGCGTGTTAACTTATATGTATATTGGTAACCGTTCTACCAATTTGTACCAAACTCGATGGTTATTGTGCTTGCCACATAAAAGCAAAACGTTGAAAATTATTGAAATCGGACTAAAATTACTAAATAATTAATTAAAATTTATAAAACTCGGTACGGGAATTGTTTGTGGTTTGGAAAATTTTTGAAATCAGATAATAACCATGTCACTCTACTATACGGGTACTTTTATAAAAAGATAATACTACTATACGCATAGCCAAAGCCAAATCGCTTAAAGATAAGACAAATATTTTAAGTAGTACAATTGCATTGCACATCTCACTTGTGTGAAAATGTGTATAGTTAGTTGCGTAATTGATTTATATATCTGACAGAAAATTGTTTCAAAATATGTACATATGTACATACATACACCTCATTCTAACACTCTAGGAAGTATCAACTGCAAAAACAAATTTTTCAAAAGGTCAAAAAATTCAGTCGGCTACCCTGATGGGTATGCAAATTTCTAAATCAGCCGAGTGGCTAAAATTGTGTTTGAATATGTACATGGCACATGCATACACATGTATGTATATTAGAGGTGTTGTTATTTGTTCGGGAAAAATTAAAATCCTTATTTTGAGGAGTGCCGGCCTGATTATTTTTCCTTTTGGTATAAAAAACCAACGTCTGAAGTTTAGTGGCGATTAGAAAACATTTGATGGACCCGGAAACAGTCTGAAGTTTTATATACGTTCGCATGCAATATTTTACATTATTTTTATTTTTTGTCGGTTTTAGATGCATCAAACGATATTATTTTAATGAACCAAAAAAAAAAATACTACTATTTTATATAAATTCATCCTAGAACTTAGTAGAACAATACAAATGATCCTAATATTACTTTTTTATTAAAAAATCTAATGAGGAATAAGAAAAATATAGATTTTTTAGCAATAATTCATTTATTGAAGGATATTTTTCATATTTTTAATTCTAATTTTAATGCATACGCAAAACATTTCTAGTCACATATACATTAATTACTCAGTTATCTCAACAACTGATTGCAGTAGCACTGATTTTTTGAAAGAAGGGTATTGTTTTCTATACTCTTCGACCAACTGGAGCACTAATTGCAGCTCTTCTTCATCGTGTGTAAGTATGCGATTATAATCTTGAACAAATTTAATCCCTCTTTCAGCGGCATCGTTAACGACGAAAAGATCACGGCAGAAGCTCCAACCTTCTTCAAAATCGAAAGCAGTTTTCCAAGCCGAGGGGTCGAGGTTAAGGAAATTTGAAGATAAACAAAAATGTCCGAAAAACTCTTGAGTTTTTTCTGAGACGAAGTCACCTAAAGTATAATTTTCAAATGCAGATAAATTTGAATGATTGCGCCCATTTTTTAATTTGACCACTGGATTATTTGAATTGAGTTTTTCGACCATATTGCGTTTCTCCTCACATGAAACTTCCGGGCCAAAAAATGCTAGCGCCACCGTTTTTTCGTTAATGTACCATAAATGGTTACTCATTTTTTTGATAATAACAGTCGAGATACTCATGTCTATTTCTGAATACTTTAGCCCTTCTTTTATGAAGTTTAAGTCGTGACGCGGTGCCAATATAGCATTTGTACATAAAAACCATGTTTTGATATAAATATTCACAAGAAAAATACATATATCTCGTATGCCGTCTATTTCTCTTTTTGTAAGTTTAAATTGTGAGCGAAATATAAATATCTTCAAGCAATATATCGCTTTGGACATCCACCGAGCGTGGCTGGTTGCTCCGGGTGTTTTAAAATTGAAATTTCTAGCACCAAGAAAGACTAATGCTAGTTGAAGCATTTCCTTATAATCATCTCGACTGTGCAATTTAGTCAGTTGGTTGTTACAAAAGTCTATTAAACATTTTCGTTTTTCTAAACTTATTTTGGAATATACAATTGTGTCGTCGATTCCGCTTTCAAATATGTCTTGATTCAAATCTGGCCAAGACTTTGAAAATCTTTCAAATATTAGAACCCCCGATGCAGAGGTCGCAATATGATTTCATATATATGGTGCCTACAAGGTAAATGAAGTAGCTTGTGTTCTAACTTTTTTTTCTAAAAGAACTGCAGCTCCATTGTCAATGCCAGTATTCGAAGCTGTAGTGTCGTAAGAGAGTCCTTTTATTTTGTCTAAAAGATTCCAGTGTCTCAGTCGATCATATACCACTTCTGCAATATTTTCACCAGTTGATGAATTTATTTTAGGTGCTCCGAGAAATTTAGTACTCCCATTGTAACTGATCAAAACTGCAATGCGATCCACTTTGTTGCGATCTGTTAAGTCTTGCATCAGTTTCCCGTCGAAATGCGCGATAATTGATCCATCTTTACTTACCTATGAATTTGGAAAGAATAATCAGGATTTATAGTGAAACTTACGGCTCTAACTTACATTATCAGAGAAGCCAGCGGAAATTTCATTGAACGCTCCCGAACGATATTCTTGACGTAGACGATGAATAGTAGAACGGTTGATGGCATATTCTTCTACTGGATGGCCCAATGCTTCAGCAGCCGCAATTAGTATATGGACTGCCATGCCATCCGATACTTATGCGTTGTCTAACGCAGCTACCAAACGAGAAGTTATAAAGTGCTTCCGACCTCTTTTAACAGCAGAAGAACTAGCATTTGATTCAAATACCATGGATTCCACTTCTTCCATATAATAACTTGTTTCACTTTCATTGATGTCTGGTTCGCCAAATGGTATTTCATTCTCATTATCTGAATCATTCCAATCCATCAAATTGACAACGGCTAAGAAATTATAAAAACATTATAATAGCATTCGAGAATAATGCCTTTAGTTTTTTACTACTGTAAAATTGTATTTAATTTAAATTAATAAATTAACTACATAAACCTAAAAATAGTTGACGTCCCACTGTAACTTAATGTAATGAATTACCCGATTCTTGGGATGTTTGTTCGTGATGTTTCCTTTTGCGTTCTTGTTCTTTGTGTAGCCGCTCTTGTGCTCTTTTTTCTCTTCCATATAAAACCATATCAACACCTGTCATGCAGCCAGGACGTCCTTTCTGTCTTTGCATTTCCAAAAATTGTTTGCCTTCCCAAATTTTCATAGTGTCTAATGCATCAGCTGTGGCGATATCAAACAGATCCTCTAAATTGTTCACATATTCCTCGGCAATTCTCTTCTGTGCATTAGATCTCTTATTAGGAGCCGTCTTTTGAATCGATTTCCAATTTTCATATAGTTTTATCAACTTGTCCGCACATTTGTGGTCTTCTCGAGTAGGAATTTTCGCCTGCTGCCAAAATATTTTTGCTGCATTGATAGCCAACTTGGCGCTATCTTTTGCATTAAGATCTACAAATCTCATGTTGTAGAAAAATACTTGCAGTAACTGTTTGTTTGACGGAAGTTTTGCGCCAGTGATTTGATGGGATGTCCTGCCCACCAAATCGATTTTGTGTAGATTTTCAAGCGATCTGCGTGTCACAATGCGTGACGTAGTTGGAATATGTTCTACAGTTGATACAGACATAGTGAACAGTATAGTCCTATTAATTAAAATTAAGTCTTTATTTTATAAATTGTATTTTTTGTGTTTTATTTCACAGGCGCCGACAATTGATGTTTTCAGTTCGCCTACAACAGCCGATTGCTAGAAGTAAATACATACACACAAGACAAATCTTAAAAATGATTGAATAAGTAACAGTTCTTATATCTGCTTCTTTTTATTTTCTAGTTTTTAGCTGTGTTTGCGACTAAAAACGAGAAAAAATAGGTAAAATATCACATTTTGCATGCAAATGAATGTAACCAACTTCAAACAATTTCCGGGTCCATTAAATATGCTCGGATCGCCACGAAATTTGACACGTGGGTTTTTTAGACCAAAAGGAAAAATAATCAGGCCGGCACTCTTCAAAAAGTCAATATCAAAAAATAAGGACATCTCTAATGTACACATTGTATACTTACATATGTATCAAACTGTATTAATATTTTCGTTATTACCTGTTCATATGGTAACCTGCATACTAAATATTTTCTTCTCTACGTACATAAGTACATCGATGTTAACATACATACATAGCTACTTGTTTTTCTAACTCATTCAATCCCGTTAGGTAAAATTACTGTTGAACTTAGTTTTGGATAAGAATTAGTATTTAAGCATAAAAGAGCAGAAATAAAGACACAGTTGATTTTTCAACCCACGCGAGTTTTGTAACTTAGTGTAGAAGACGGGTAAGGCCACCAAACATTTGTAAGGCAGTGGAACTCGATTGGTACATTTGTACAGATTAGTACATTTTGATATTGGGCTATTGGTAAAAATAAAAAAAAAAATGGGAAAATTTTTTTTGTAGTCAAAATATCGGTACAATACAGCGATGCTCTATTAAAAAATTTCAACAAATTAATTTTCGTGATTGGGATTTTTTTTTGAACTCATAGATTTTTATTGCGATCTGTTTTTTTCTTTTTAACATTAAGCAATATTTGAAACTTAAATACTAAATAAGAAAATAATCATGTATGGAGTACACCCAGTGGCGCAACCATATTCTATTCGCAGGTATTCAATGTTATTAGAGATCTAATATTGATTTCCTTTTAAGGAGCTGGAATGACACTGCATGAGAAGTGAGTGTAGAAATAAGAGGATTTGGGTGATCATGAATTTTTTGTCGGTGCGCCAAGGCGTGCTTTTTAATTTCGGAAGCAACAGTAGGGATTTTAAGGTCACGGTTTATTTGGTTATTTGTGACATAGAGCGGAGCGTTCACAATCATTCTAAGAGGTTTAAGGGAGAACGTAACCTGGACAGACTTTGTTTCATATGGCTTAATTCGCCAATCTTTCAGCCATTGTGTTATTTTGTTGAGGCCATTTTGGAGTTTAACCGAGGCGAGTTTTGGAAGGGTGTCCATTGCGAAAATTGCAGTATCATCTGCAAATGTACCAACAATTGCTCCTTCGGATGCTGGTAAATCATATGTGTATAACAGGTAAAGGATGGGACCCATCACACTGCCTTGAGGTACACCAGCTGAACTTTCGTAGAGTTCAGACTGCTCCTCGCCTTGCTTAACAAAGAAAAATCGATTTTTGAGATAGGACTCAATAAAGATATAATAGTTTATCGGGAGGGTACTCTTTATTTTGTAAAGTAAGCCGTCATGCCATACTCGATCGAAAGCTTGAGATATATCGAGGAATGCAGCTGTACTTGGCAAGTAATCCCGAGATTTTCGGGACCTAAAAAGTCCCCGGGATTAACATTCCTAGTACAGTAGTGGAAAAAATTATGGCCGCACCAAATTTTCACAAGTTTTAAAATAATATTTTTGTTGTTATTTTATTTTGGTTAGTTTTTTATAGTTCATACTTTAACAACATCCGTATAAATATAAGTTTAAAGGCAGTGTCACACGATTGAGTACTTGCCAAAATTTGGTGCAAATCTTATCCCAATTGTGTGAATAACCAAATATTTTTCTTTATCCCAATCACAGACAGGGACAGACATGGTAACCCTACCGAGTGGTCGTGAAATTTCACATAGTGCAACAAAGTTATAAATCAATTCAAAAAACAGTAAAAGACAAGAAAATAACACAGTGAATATTTAACAACAATTGACACTAAGGAGTGCTTTAAAAGTTCTGAGTGAAAGTGAAGCTTGATATTTAAAATTAAAAATTTTTACCTGCGCGAGTGATAAATTCTCAAGTGAGACTCCGCCGAGTTGAAAAGAAACAAACGAAAGTGCTAGCAACAAAACAGTAGTGGATGTCCAGGCAGCCTAAAAGTATGCTATGTTTTGGGCACTTCTAAGTATTGACACTACTTCACGGTTGCCATAGTATATTTATATTTATAAAATAAAAGATAAAAATACCCCAAAAACACCCCAGTTTCAAAATGCCCTTAAATCGTACCCCTCCCAAAGGCGGAGGGCAGGAATCGTCTCAGCCACAACAACAACAGCATAGACAACAAAGGTCACAACAGCAACAAGAATCCCAACTTCCTCTGCAGCCCGAAACACCGCAAAAATCACAGACACAACAGGAAAAGCAACAGCAACAACAACTGTCGATCTCAAGACAGTCACCAAATTCGTGGAGCTCACAATGCCCCACCTCGGCCAATAGTAAAAATCCAAATATCCAGGATCAAATTGAGCTACTTCAAAAGCAATTACAATTACTGTACCAACAGCAAGCATCAAATGATAAACCTACCCCAGGTAAAGAATGGACCACAGTAGAACCCAAAAAAAGGCCCCGAGAAAGCCCAGGTAAGCCCTCAAATACCAAAAAAGAAGCAAAGCTTGATAAGTACTGGCTAGGCGAATCCCAGTCTAAAGAAAATAGGCTTTCTCTTTCTTGAAATAGAAGACGATGAAGACCCAAAGCCCAAAGAAAATAATCCCAAGCCCCCACCAATCTTCGTTGATAAAGTAAGCAACACTACCCCCCTAATGGAGCTTTTATCGGAAACTGCTCCAAGTCTCTACGACTTAAAGCTCATAAGCAATGAGCAAATTGAAATACAAGCAAAAACTCCCGAGGCCTACAAAACAATTGTTCAGCAACTAGAGCAAAGAAACACTGAGTTTTATACATACAAGCCAAAACAAGAAAGAAGTTACAAAGTTATACTCAGAAATATGCACTCGTCTATTGGCACCGAAGAAATCGCTGAAGCCCTACAAAATCTCGGCCATATCCCTATTAACATTTACAATATGAAACACAGAAACACGAAAAAACCGCTACCAATGTTCACTGTAGAGCTAAAAGCAAACCCTAATAACAAGGAAATATACGATATCAAATATCTCTTTAACACAAAAATTGTATTTGAACCCCCACGCCCAAAACGCGAAATCCCGCAATGCGCTAACTGTCAACAGTATGGACACAAAAAAGCATACTGCCGTAGAAGACCGGTATGTATTAAATGCGCTGGCCCCCACTTGTCTGCAGATTGCTCGCGCGAGACAAAATCCAACGATGTTAAATGTGCTCTGTGTGAAGGAAATACCCAGCAAACTATAAAGGCTGCATGGTGTACAAAAATCTACAGAAACTTAAACACCCACCATTAAGAAGAATGGAGGACAACAATCCCAAAAGTATCAGCCAGCAGCAATCAGCTCCACTTTCACCCAATCGAGTCTCGCAACCGCCCTGAAATTTACTTTCTTACTCCCAAATGTTGAAAAGCACACAAGGTCCGAGTCCTAGTAACTCAATCC